AGGGAGGTGATGCGGGGGGACAGGTCCTGGCATGTGGGTGGGGAGAGCCAGCCTGTCGTGCACTTGCCAGTGGGGAGCACTGGTGCTGTGGCCCCCAGGGAGGTCCCGAGCAGCCTCTTCCATGGCTGCCTCTATTCACACTGTGTTGCCCACAGCCCTGGGCCAAACCCTGCTTGGAGCTGGTTGTGTCCTGCAGCTGCAGGGAGCCGGGAGGGTGAGTAGGTGAGGAGCCGTGGGGCTGGAGGGGCACTTAGATGGGCTTGGCTGCTCCAGCATGTCTCTGAGTCCTGCTCTCACTGACACGGGCCAGAAAACTGTCTCATCCTCCTGGCGCTGCCCGCCAGAGATGGTATCTTAGCGTGCAGGAGGAACACCGTGCTCTGGACCTGCAATTACTCAGGGAGGGGTTTTGCTTGATTGCCTGCCCGTGCCCTGGCTCTCTGCTGGCCGCTCTGCCCCTCGCCGTACGGCGGGGGGAGGGGGGGGGGGGCGGGTAAAATCCTGCTGCTGGCCGGGGGTCCTGCCTGCGATGCCTTGCGTGTGGGTCTGTGCCGCAGCAAGAAAGCAGCTGATTTCTTGGGCTCAGCCCTGGCTGAACCCAATGCCTGGCAAGAAACGCTGCTGATCCTCTCCCAGCACAGCCACGGCCGAGCTGCCCGGCCTCAGAGCCGGAGGGATGTGTCCCATGCGGGTGGATGCTGCTTGATAAAGTATAGCAGCCCTGTGGAAAATGGCGAGAGACCTGCCGGAGGCTGCCCTGGCCCCGTGAACCAGAGCAAGAGGTTGAAGGCTCACAGCCAGGAAAGTGCCTACAGGAGGTGAGGGTTTGTCAGCAGAGAGGCAGGGAGCAGCGGGGCGGACGGGAGCCGTGCCATGCATTACGGCTGTGACTGGAAGTCAAACAACCCTCGCTCATGCCCGAGTGGCTTGGCTACGCGGGGGCTCGGGTCCTGGGGAAGACCTGGCCTCTCCGCTCGGCTGGAAGAAAGGCCCTGGGAAGTGGAACCCCCAGCCTGGGATATTCCTTGTTCTCCGGCTGCACTCCCCGGTGAGGCCGTACTGAGCTGGCTGTGTTGCGCCCTTGGAGGGAGCCCAGTGAGCCAGCGGCTCAGGGCCGGAGGGCTTGCCTCGCCTTGCTGCGGGGGAGCTAAATATGTGCATCTTGGCCACAAAATCACAGTGCGGTGTAACCGTCGGCACTGGCTGTGTGATGGGGGAGAGGAGCTGCCTGGCCGTGCCCAAGGAGGGCAGGAGGGGACGGGGTTGGGGACATGGAAAGGCAGTGCAGACCCTTCCCTGGGGCACCACGGCTGGCAGCATGGCTTGGCAGGAAGACCTGACTTTGTCCTTCTCCACTCCCCGTCCATGCTTCAAGGGGCTGGGAAGTGACAGGCTGCCAGCTGCCTGGGCTCTCAGCTTTGTTTCCAGCCATTTACCAGGCTCCTTTCCCTGCGCTCATCTTTCTTATTCATTCCTTTGTGCCTGCGACTGCTTTGAAGTGCATCTGCGGTTGCTCTGACAGCATCCCTCTCCTCCAGGGATGCCTGTCACTAGGTCTCTGTGGGGATTTGGTGTCTTTATCGCCAGACTGGGCTTTGTCAGTCCTTCCCCGTGTCCTCCCAGGGCTGCACTGGGATGGATGGGGCACAGCCCAGCCCTTTGCAGAGACGCGGTTGCAGCTATGGTTGCTTTTGCTGAATAAGCCTCCGGCTGGAAGCAGAGCTGACGTCAGGCTGTGGAAATACCTGTGCGAGGGCCTGGAGCTGGATCAGTGCAGCCCCTGGCGCTGAGTCTGGGAGGAGGGACGCTCCCTTCCCACCCTGAAAAGATGCACCACCTCTGGCCTGCGCCAGCTGCCTTGCCCTAGCATGGTGGGTAATTAAGGGATGAGCCGCGTTGTCTCTGGGGTGGGGCTGCCGCAGAGCCGTGGGGAGCAGACTGCCTTGGCAGCCCCCTCCAGTGCTTTCCTGCTCCTGGCCTCTGATTTTCACTGATTCTGGTGGTGTCCCTCATCAGTAGGGGCTGCACCCCCTGCATGGTGCAAATCCACCCCATGGCTACATCCTGCAGCTGGCGACATACCCGCTGTGCCTCCACGTCTGCCGGGGGCATTTCTCCTAAGGGAGAGGTTTATTATCAGTGCCCACCGACGGTGAGGTGGGTAACCCAGAGCAGGCAAACCCCAAGGCATGCACATTTGGCAGAGGCCAAATTCCTCCAGCGGAGTACCCTTAACTCTGCCGTTTATGGGGGGTGCTGCATGGCTGGTTTAAATTTGGCAGGCTTGAGGGGAGCATCTTGCCATGGGCTGAGTGTGTAGGTGTGGGATCCAGTGAGCGGGACAGGACGTGTGTGCACTCGGTGTGATGCTGAGGGGGCTCAGGCACTGGCCCATCCCTTCTCGGCGTGGTTCAGTGTGGCAGGGCATGGCGTTTGGTGGCAGAGGCTGGGTGTGGTGTGACGTCTGGCTGAGCCTGCACCAGAGCCCCGTGCCATCCTGTGCTCCCTGAGCTGAACAGAGCTGGGGCGCTGCTTTGCCTCAGGCTGCTCTTGCAGAGCTGATGGTGGGGTGCTCCCCTGGAGTCTGGGGGGGCAGAGCAGGGCTTCCCCTCAGCAGCTGCCCAGGGATCTCTGATGCAGCGGGAGTTTGTGGCCAGAGACTTCTCCCCAGGAGCTGATGCAATGGCGGAGCAGATGTGGCCGGGTGACAGGAAACCTGGGCGCCCGCAGTGATTTAGGGGGCAGCGCAGCCACGGGCCTGACACGCCACTGCCCTGGAAATGGGCTGGGGTGGCTCCAAGCTGCTTCCTCTGCTCGGAGCGAACAATGCCGCCTGGAAAGCCATCCTGGCTGTGCTGGCCGCGGCCCCCGGGAGCCCTTGTTTGCAGCCAGAGGATGCCTGACCAACCTCTGCGTGACATTTCCACCCGCGGGCAAGGGGCAGTCCCCGTGGTTCCCGGGATGTCCTTGTGCCCCCGGAGCAGGACGATGCACTGGGGAACCTCCTCCCTCCTGCCCCGTCCCCTGCCAGGGTATGTGGGTGCTGGCAAGGTCCCTCTTGCTCTGCATGGCTGGGGATGCCGTGGAGGGGGTTGCATTCGTCAGGGAGCAGCAGGGATTTACAGCTGCCTGAAATATTACGGAGGAGGGACATTGGGGAGGCATCTCATTTTGTGGGGGCAGGAAGGAGCTGGTGTGGGCTGTGGCCGGCTGTAATTGCAATGGCCTCTGGAAAACATCCGCTGGGAGTTTCCTCCTTGCTTTGTACACGGGGTCGTGACGGCGCTGGGCCGGGGCGGCGGGGGGAGCTGGGGGTGACGCAGCCAAAGTGCAGCCTGGCTGTGCATCCACTGTGACAAAGCTGAGCGGCTCTTTGGCCCCGAGCCCCTGGCTCAGCTTTCAGCCCATCATGCTCCATTTCCCTCCCTGGTCGACCCGGGGAGGTACCCGGGGAGAGCTGGGGGGGTGCAGGGCTCCTGCGACAGCCCCAAGGCAGCGGTGTGCTAGGACCTCTGTGACCCCCTTGGTTTTGGGGAACGCTGTGTGGGCCTGGGGGCTGTGTGCCCTGGGGCTGGTCCTCTGTCCCCCAGGGCCACCGAGGGCTGCAGAGGAAGGGTAGGGCAGGATCCGGCCCTGGCCCCTTCCCTGTGTGCTGCCTGCTGCGAGGGGCTGGGGAAGCACCAGCCCTCCTGAGCCCCCGGGCTTGGGGGCCAGTATCTGCCCTGGTAGCTTTGGGCAGGCAGGCAGAGACCCCCGGCTGTGGTGGGGCATCCCTTCACCCTGTGGTCTGCTCCCGCCTGGGCCTTTGTCCAACAGCCTGGACTGGTGCGTGGCATCACCAGGAGGTCAGTTCAGAGCTGCTTCCAGCTGATGCTGGTCCCCCCAGCCCATCCTCCATGCGCTTGCTTGGGGGTTCTCTCAGGGCTGTCCCCTGCATCCTGGTGCCATGGCTCCGGCTCTGCCCTCTCATGCTGCCCTCTTCTGCCACCGGCCGCTCCGCTTTGCACCGGGGCTGATTTTTTGGGTGGTGGTGGCAGTTGTTTCAGTTTATCTTGACCCTGTGGTGTTCCCCGGACACAGCTGTTTGCCTTGGGAGGAGGGTGGCTCTGGAAGCCAGGACCTGCCCTCAGGGAGCTCTTGACCCCCATCTCGACCTTGTGCAAACAGGTGACATTTGCTGAGGTCCTCGAGGGTAAAAAGGGCTGGGGAACCCGCAGCCGCAGCGGAGGTCTTCTTGTAGAGCAGGGCCGGGCTTCGGTTGCTCTTTTATTTGCTTGTTAAATATTTTATTTGGCTCTTCTGATTTAGTTTTACGGTGGCTTTAACAGGATCATGCTGTTTTCCAGCTGTCTCTGCACATGTGTGGGGGAGAGGGAGGGCAAATGGGAATCAGTGGGGGGGCACAGAGCAGCACCCGGCCCCCCAGGAGCTGGGAAGAAGGGGGGACAGTTCAAGGCCAGGGATGCAGGACGAAGGTTGGCAGCCTGTGCTACCTCCCGGCGTGCTTCTGGAGATGTACAGCTCGGGGCCAGCCGGAGGAGGTGCATTCATGTAACTGGCCTCAAAGCATTTTCCATCTCTGAATTTGCCCGCTGATGCTTTGAAACTGTTTTCGGTGCCGGCAGCGAGTTGCTGCGCAGGTTTGAGGCACTCCGGGGCAACGCAGGGATGGTGCCCACGTACCTGTCTGCACGTCGCGCCTGCGCCCGGGCTGGGGTTGAGTGGGGACCACCCTCATGCCCAAGAGATGGGTGTTTTCCAGGGCCAAACGTCCATCCTTGGTGACACTGGAGTCTGTCTCCCATCCTGTCCTCCTGGCTGGAGGCAAGTGTCCTGGGAGCAGCACTGGGGGCAGCTCTGCGGAGGGCTGGAACTGTGGTTGAGGCTCCCTGGGGAGCCCAAGAGGCTGGGTGTGTGTGTGTGAGGCATGACTAAACGGGTGGGGTGGGCATGGTAACACCAAATATTTGAATGGGAGCAGCAGGGTCATTCTGGGTAACATGGCGGGTAAAAATAGATGCAGGGAGCAGAAAGGAAAATGCTACCGTTGCTGGACTGGCGCGTGGGAAAGGGTGTCTGTGCAACGGCAGAGCCAACGCTGGGGAGGTCAGAGGCTGGGGCGGTCCGTGCCCATGGCCTGAACAGCCCCGGGGACCCTGTGGGCTGCAGCAGAGTGGTCCCTGCAGTGTGCTGATGAGCAGCCCCCCACCAGTGCAGCCCCCCATGGTGCCCGGAGCCTGGCTTTCCCCAGGGAAGCAGGTGCTGGGCAGTCGCTCACCCCTCTCTCGTGTTCCCTGCAGCCGAGAAGGTGTCCTCCCTGGGCAAGGACTGGCACAAGTTCTGCCTGAAGTGTGAGCGCTGCAACAAGACCCTGACCCCGGGCGGGCACGCCGAGGTAAGAGCTGGAGGGGGGACAGGGTGGGGGAGCCATGCTGCTGTGCAAGGGTGGCCTGGGGGTCTCTCCAGGACTCTCCAGCACCCCAGGGACAGGGAGTCCCAGGAATCAGGCTGGGGCAGGTGATGCCATGCAGATGGGCTGTCCCTACAGCCCAGGAGCACACACTGTGCCTTCAAACGCTGCTGCGACCCATGGTGCTCAAGAGCTCTCATGCACAGTCCTGGGCAAGCCACAGAGTGGTGCTGGCACCACGTGTGGCGCCCCAGCCATGCCACCTGGCTCCCAGGCAGCCTGTGGCAGGGCTCGGCGTGCCCGGGCAAGCACTTGAAGCAGCTCCATGCACTGGGCAGGCTTGTTTGGGCGTCACGCTGGCTTTGAAGGTTTGCCAGCGCCGAGAGCTTACACCGGCGTGTGGTTAAAAACACCAAAAATCGGGGATGCGCGGGTTGCTGTGGCAGTGCTAGCTCTGCTCTGGGGCTCATGCTGGAGTGCGATGCCACCACGGCTGCCCAGCGCTTGGGAGCAGGGGGGTGCTGTGCCGGCGGTGGCAGCTGCTCGGGCCTGGGAGCAACTGTGTTTTTCTTGTGCGATGCCCCAGGGTGACACCCGGCACCCTGGGTTTTGCACGGCACCTGTCATGCCAGAGTGTCACCAGCTCTTTAGCACGGCTTTAGCACGCGGCACAGCTGGGGAGCGGGCGGCGAAAGCCATGCTGGCTGCCACCAATCCGTGGTGGGAGTGGGGCCGGTCTTGCCGGGGAGGATGGGGTTGTACGGGTGGATCTGTGCTTCGGGCCCGGTTAAGTCCAGGGGATTTGCTGCTTCTCTATATAAGGCCAGATTCTGCTCCCATGGGGGATGGCAGCCAAGCCCCCACTGACCGTGCCGACAGCAGGATTTGGCCCTTCGCTGCTTTTTCTCCCTCCTTTTAAGCCAGCATGTCTGGTCGAGTTGGAAGGGTGCTGTGGGGAGACCAGCTAAATGTTTACCCTCCCCTCCAGCATGGTAACGCTGCGAGCACACTGATATTTATGCCTTGCAATATTTTGCAGCTGCGGGCTGCCAGCCTGCTGCCTGCTGCCAGCCTTGCCCCCTGCTCGCTCCCCCAGCCGCGGCCCCGGCTGCTCCCAGCCCTCGCCTTCAGCACGGCACCGCTCGAGGAGGCGAGGGCAAGGACATCACTTCTGCTCAGCTCCCGCCTTGCCCGTTTTGGGCAAGGTGTCCTTGCCTTGCAGCAGGGGGGATGGAGGGCAGGAGCACGAGGCGTGAAGCAGGGCTGAGATGCTGAATGGAGCCGAGCAGGCTGTGGGTTGGGTTCGTGCCTGAGTATGGGGTCCCAGCGGGTTTTCCACACAGGGTGGTGTGCGTGGCAGCCCCGCTGGCCCCCTGCCCCAGACACAGATGCTCTTTCTTTTCTCTTGGACGTGGTTCCCGCTGGCCCATGAGAAACGGCTGTGGAGATCTCTGGGGCTTATCGCCCGCTTCGTGCCTTCCTAAGATAATGGCCCCCAGCCGATAGCGGGGCCGATAGCAGCTGGGCTGGGACCAGTGCCCATGTGGGGCCTCTGATCTCAGGCCAAGGCGAGGGGGGAAGCAAAGCTCAGTGGAAGCCACGGTGCTCTGTGTGCCTGATAACGGCCTGACTGAGCACGGGATGCTTAAGGGACAAAGCGATGCCTTACTGGGTCCCAGTGGCACACCGCCGGGCTGGGGCTCAGAGGTGCCTCTCAGCTGAACTGCCCCAGGGCGCTGGTGCTCCAGCCCCGCCGTACGGCGTGTGTGGAGCAGCTGGAGTGTTTGATGTGGGTGAAATCCTTGAGTGCTTGGGTTGGGTTAGGCTGTTGCTGGGAGACCTGCAGGCTGTGTACGTTTTGGGGTGTAGGCATGGCCATGGTGGTCTCTGGACACCTTTGGGGGGGGGGTGGAAGTGCTCCCCAGGGAACCATGGTCACCACTTGGCATCCTAACGCTCCCCTCTCTCCCCAGCACGATGGGAAGCCCTTCTGCCACAAGCCCTGCTATGCCACGCTGTTCGGCCCCAAAGGTACGTCAGTGCTCCCCCAGTGCCTGCATGGCCATGTCCAGGACTGCAGGAGGGGCCAGGTCCCCACATCCCCGCTGGTGGGGAGCCTTGGCCCTGAAAGCACCTCAGGAGCCAGGCTAGCACGAGCTGAGCATCAAGCCAGCACTTTGCACTCCCAACCCTGCTGTCCCCTTGTGCAGAGGGAGAGGAGAGCTGCTGGAGGGAGGGAGGGATCCGTCCTGACAGCTGTCCCTTTTTTTTTTTTTTTTAAATATTTAAAAAACAAATTCACATTCAAACAGAAGGTGGAGTCACTCTCCTATTCCAGACACGGCTGGAGAAAGCCTGAGTCAGGGAAAAGAAAGCTGGAGCTGAGATGCAGCAGTGTCTACAGTGGCCCTGTGGCTCATCAGGGCTGGAGGCAGTGACAGGAGGCTGGGGGGTGCATGGAGACCCTGAGTGCTCCCAGGCCACCACAGCCTCTCTCTGCCCACTGCAGGGGTGAACATTGGTGGCGCTGGGTCCTACATCTATGAGAAGCCGCAGATCGAGGGGCAGACCGCTCCAGGACCCATTGAGCACCCGGTGAAGGTGGAGGAGAGGAAGGTGAACGCTGCGCCTCCCAAGGGACCCAGCAAAGGTGAGGGGCAGGGTGGGACGGGCAGCCTGGCCCTCTGCTGTGGCGTTCAGCCAGTCCAGAGCCACTGCATTTGGCAATGGTGTGGGGGAGTCAAGGAGTGTGGCCAGCAGGTGGAGGGAGGTTCTCATCCCCCTCTACTCTGCCCTGGTGAGGCCACATCTGGAGTACTGTGTCCAGTTCTGGGCCCCCCAGTTCAAGAAAGACGGGAAGCTACTGGAGAGAGTCCAGCGGAGGGCCATGA